ACCGAAGTACTGTGGCTCAAGTGGTAGAGCGCTAGCTTTGAACTGAAGAGCTGAGGGACAGCGCTCTGGCCCAGAGTTCAAGGCCCACAACCGACAAAAGAAAAATAAAAAAGATCCTGGGTTCCTATGAGTCAGGTGAGACAGCTATGTGCCTTTGGAACACTGACTTTCTCTCTGGTTTTCACAGTTATAAACGTACCTCAGGTTGGAGAAAGATGAGAAATCCTGCCAGGATGGTACTGCTCACAGCAGCTCTGCGCCTTGGCGCCATTTCACCAGCAGACAGCAACTGTTCCCTCCCCTCCTCACCTGGCGCCAAGGATTTGGGATTTCCTGGGAGTTCTAAAGATGACTCTGTGATCACATGTAACCTGCCGTGGAGTTATTTCTGAGAACGAATAAATATGCTTTCACATAACAAAATACCATGAACTTCCCTTTTATTTTTTTACGATGAAAAGACCTGTTGCCAGAATTTAGTCTATCTCCAATCCTTGCTGAAACTGCTTAGTAGACTTAGTATCGGAGACCCAGCCTCTAGTGAGAGCTGACCTGCTAATAAGGCTCAGAGCACAGGCATGTCAATCTTGTGGTTTGAGGCTATCAAATTGGAAATAGGGAGCTGGACACTGGGTGTGATACACAGTTCCAGCACTTAGGAAGGGGAGGCAGGTTGCAAGTTCAAGGACAGCCTAGGTTATGTAATGAGTCATAGTCTGCTCCCATCCCCCCACCCAAAAAAAAGGAGAGGGAGAAAATAAATTAGTGGACTGGGTGAGACCCTGGGTTCAACTCCTCACCCTTCACCCTCCCCCCCAAAAAAAGGTAAATGGCTGGGAATGTGGCTCAAAATGGAGACCCAAGGCTGAGCAAGCCTGAGTCCTCAGATCAATCAATTCCTAATACAGCAACAATAAATCAGACACAAAATTCAGAAATAAACCAACACCGGCTTTAACAAAATGTTCCAATTTAGCCAAGCACTGGTGGCTCACAGCTGTAATCTTAGCTGCTGTTAGCTAATCTTTCCTCTCTGAGCTGGCTTAAAGTCCATGAGATTCATCTCCCCAATTAGCCAGCAAAAGGCCAGAAATGCGCGCACGTGCACACACGCACGCGCACACACACACACATGCACACACACACACACACAAGCTCCAATTAGAACTCACATCCCACTTTCTATGATCCCGGGCCAAAACCCTTCTCTGACAGCTGCACACACAATTTTTACTTTGAAACATCACTGTTACTTATTTAATAGTTAGCCCGGGAGAAGAAGTGGTTTAGAGAAAGCACTCATCTTTTTGTTATCAGCAAACTCTGCAGCTCTGAAAACTATATCCCATTTCACCCAAAGTGAAAAAATAAAGGGCCAAAGCCTGCTAGTTTGGCACTGGACCAAGAAAGGTAAAAGGTCAAATGAGCTTCCCAATGCATGGCCGGAAGTAACTGTGTAGAAAGAGGATTGGAGGATTTATTTAGTGACTTTGTAGTCACTCAGCTATAGCCAAATTGAAACCCTGTGAACTGCTCCCAACACCCAGCGTGGAAGTCCAGAGGCCGAGTCCCCAGAACATCCACACACTCTCCTGGGACGGACGGACGGACAGACCAAGCCGCGTTCTGACAGACCAGTGGCCTGAGGAAATAAGAGGTTAAGAGACCATTGTTTTTCTATTTTTATAATATTTTATATAACTCATAAAACAGTGCTTGTATAAAAATTCACACAGGGTTGCTAGAGAGCATACAATTTCCAAAAATGTCCTGGGTTTTTGTTACATTCAGTTTTCTAAGGATGCACTCAAATAAACGGTGAAATGCAGACATTATGTGGTATTATCTTTGGTAAAACTATTCTCATTATTTTGTCTCCTCACAGTATTAACTCTGATATCCACTTTGTGCAGGGTCTGCTCTTACTAGGATGTCAGAAAAACATTAAGGCTGGACCTACAACAGGCAAAGGTTTCCAAACCACAGCCACAGCCCTGAGCCCTGCCCCCCACTTCAAGCCTGTCCATCTCCAGACAAGCAGGGTAAGAGCTTGATGACCTCCAACCTCCCTCCCAACAGGACAGGAAGTGAAACTTTAAAGAAGTGGGAATGGGGACTGAGGCCATCTTTACAGGACCAAAGTGGCCATGCTGTGGTCAAGCCAGTGGCTAATAGAGCCACCACTAAGTAGATCCCATTGGTTGATGATTGCTGCTGACCACCCTCCCCCCCACCCCAAACTTAAAAGGAAAGATGGGTTTGGGCTGACATTGAAGGGGGAGGGCACACTAGTGCTAATGACACTAGACGTGACTTATTCCCTGTCAAAGTTAGTCATCATGTAGACACGGCCACGTGAACTGAAGCAGGATTCGAACAGCTTGTACATTCATGTCTATTTTCATACATTCTTTAACAATTTACTAACAGGAAACCATGACCACTACCCACCTACTGTGACTATTTTACTTAACATCAGAATGTGTCTGTGCTAATTCGTTAAGAGTCCTCAGGATAGAGGTAAAAAAAATAATCATCCAAAACACAAACAAGTAAAAACCAAAGAAACAATTTGAGGGTAGAGACAGGAGGAGGAAAAATGGGAAAGAACCAAGGAAGGGGTGACATTGACCAAGAAGCATTGTACGCATAACTTGACTTACAGAATTGTAACCCCTTTGTACAACTACTTAATAAAAAATAAAAATAAAAACCAAACAACCTAGACGGGGGGAAGTAAAGAGGTTGCCAACAGATCTTACGGAACATTAGATTCTGAAAAAAAAGTAAGACTTTTGTACTTCTATTGCTTCATGTTAAAACAAACAAACAAACAAACAACATGCCCACTGGAGCCACCTGTATGGATGGAGAGTGAGGACGCCATACAGACAGAACACAGCCCAGGGGACAGGAAGTGGCTCCCAGAGTGCATCTGCCTCTTTACGGAAAGGAACTGTAGGATTTTTTGGGGGGTGGGGGTGGGAGGAGAGGAGAGGCCCTACATGGGAAACACCAAAATAGTTTCCAAAATTTTAACATGTTCTAGGCTACAAAAAGACATTTAATTCCTTGAACCTGTTGATTTCTCTAATATGAGTAGACAGGAATTACGAAGTAAAATGATTGTGCTTCTGAAGCTACAAGGTCACAGTCCACCCTCTAGAAAACAGGAGCTTTCACATGGCTTGGAATCCTAGAAACCGGGACAAACTCCACGGGGCCCCCACCAGCCATCTTTGGGTAGGGCACGTGCATGTGTGCATGCGTCTATGGTGAAGAACTAAGGCATAGAGAAAGGTCCAAGTAAGGGAGGAAATGAGTCTCCTGACTGCCATCATTTCTTTCCAGGCACAAAGTCTAGCTTGTTATTCATACAGCACTGGCCTTCTTTCTTGCTGAAGGTTTTAAGGAGAGACGTGTGTGTGTGTGTGTATGTGTGTGCGTGCACACACATGGGTGTACCTGTGTACACATGGGAATAGGCATGGAGTAAGGGGTGGGGGGTTGAGGTGATTATGAGACTCATGAAGTCACCGCAAATTTCTTAACTTCAATAATTCAGGTTTACAGTTGCAGTCAAAATCATCTGCCAAGGTCACTGAACAGCAGCTTCACATGGTTCAAATTTCTGTGTTTTATCTGTCTTTTAAAAATGCCCCATCGATTCAGGCAAACTTGTCATATAGCCACTGGAGCTAAAGTTCTTAGGTATGTGAAGAAAGTTCACAGATCATCTCTATTATTTCTGCATTTTCAGGTAGCAAAATATTAAACAATTAGGTTATTAACTCTGTAGCCTCACACATAGGCTTTGTGATTCTCATGGGTGAGACAAGTCGTTTTCTGGTGAGATGCACTGTTTGCAGTACACTGCTTCTTTTTCCTCTTGGACACTAGGTCCTCGTGCAGACTAGGTAAAAGGACTGGGCCTGGTGGGGAGTTTCCCAGTTAGTGGTCCTGGAGCGCAAGCAGCAGGGAGAAAGAGATGTGCACCTAGTTGCCAGGAGAGGGGCCAAGGTAGGACAGGAGAACCTTTTAGGGGGTCTGAGGCGGGGCAGAAAGGAGACACAAGAGCCTGGTGTGAGATGACTTATATCCTTCCAATACTAGGTGTCCTCAAGAGGGCTCCAGGCCTGGGCCCACCCCAGGGGAGTAAGGAGCCAACAGTGAAGTCTGAGGGACTCACCACACAGCTCCCAGAACCCCAATTGTGTACAAATACCCACACGGAAAGTAAACAGTTCTCAGTGGACCCAAAGGGGCCCAGCTTTAAATCAAACAGAAAACCCAATGCCCACACACATTGCTTTCCAAGGAAATGTGTCTGCCCCTCTAAACCCAAATCCACGCATAGAGGGGCTTGGGGGGGGGGGGGTCATGGGAAGATACCATGACAGGAAAACACTGTGCACGCGTGCTTCCACGTCTATCTACATTCATCTCATCATCCAGTGTTCTCGTCTACAGACTGAGCACATTCTACCTGAGGCAAGGGCGCACAGGCCACACTGCCCACAATCCTCCTGGGGCCATGGTGGAAGGGAAAACTGGCCCCTGGTAGGGCAGGCCTTTATGCTGTGGCTCCTCCCTCTCCTACCACCCAAAGGGCACCCTGACTCTTCCCACGTCAGATGTGAACTCTACGGTGAGAAGCACCAGCACTCTGTGTGCCACTGGAAGCTACCATTATCTACCATGTTGGAACACGGCACTGAAAAATATTTTTTTGATAAAACTGAAATTTTTTTTAAAAATCACAGCAAGTGAAGTCATCTCACAGTACTTCATCTCAAATACTTAAAAAAAATTTTTTTCCCTAAAATGGCCCCCAAGAGCTCAATGATACTTTTTTTTTTTTTAAGGGAGGAGTAAAAAATGGAAGATGCAAAAATGGAAGGAGGAACAGGTTGCCTGGTGTGCCTTCTGAATGGTGAGCACTGGCGAGGGCTGGCCAGGCCAGAGGAGAGGCGGCCACTGGACCGGGCCCTTGCTCACAGCTTGACATCCCCCCCTCCAACCCGGCCTGCGCCACCCAGGGAACACAGCACAAAGAATACAAGAGACCAAACTCAAGGCTTCTTTCTTGTGGTTGGGTGGGTGTTTAGGTGTGCAAATGGAGGAAGCCACTCCCCACTGACATAAGGTGCCTGCCCGTGGATGCCATGCGTGTGCTCCAAAGTGACACTCCAGTCCCCAGGGCGCCCAGGCTCAGCCTCCAGGGCCCCACGTCTCTGGGCAGCCCCTCCCCGGGGCCGGTCACTTCTCGACTTTCTTGGCCTTCTTGAGGATGTCGCACTTTTTCCGGTTGGGGCGGCGACACCGCTCGTCGATGCTGGGGATACATTCGTAATGCCACACCTCCTCCATCTTCTCCACGGGGTAGACGGCCTCCACGTAGTGGCGGATGAGGCGCAGCCGCGTGGGGTCCAGCTGCTTCTTGTTGCAGGCTCCGGAATGGTTGTACTGCAGCCGCAGGTTCTCGGCGGTGAAGAGTTCGGGGAAGAGCCTGACCAGGAGGCGGGCGGCGAAGTTGCCCACGGACAGGCTCTGCTGCACGATCTCGCGCACCTCCTTGTCGGACAGCAGGTAGGGGGAAGGCACGGGGAAGTCGGGCGAGGGCACCACCAGCTCCTCCAGGGGGATCTTACAGAAGTCTTTGCTGCTCCTTTCCGGGGGCAGCGGGGGCCCCTCGAACTCCTCCCGGAACTTCTCGGGCTTGACCGGATATCCGGCCAGGTCGGCGCCCTCGGGGCCCGGCACGTGCACCTTGCGCTGCTGCTGGTAGGAGCGCCGCTGCTCCGTGTCGCGCCGGCGGCAGCGCTCGTCCAGCTTGCCCACGAACTCCAGCGTCCACACGCGGTCGTTCTTGGCCCGCGGGTAGAGCAGCTGCACGTAGTGGCGGATCAGCTTGATGCGGGTGGGGTCCAGCTGCTTCTTGCCCAGGGAGCCGCTGCAGTTGTACTGCTTGCGCAGGTTCTCGTGGGTGAAGAGCTCGGGGAACAGGTGCACCAGGAGGCGGGAGGCGAAGTTGCCGATGGACAGGCTGCTCTCGTAGATGCTGCGCAGCTGCTCCTTGCTCAGCAGGCAGTCGGCGCCCGGCACCTCGAAGTCCGGCTGCGGGATGTCCAGCTTGTCGAAGTCGATGGGCACCAGCCAGATCTTCTTGGAGCGCCGTCCGGGTCGCTCGCCCTCGAAGCTGTCCTCCACCTTGACCACGGAGATGTCGGGCAGGCCGAAGGAGTCGTAGCAGTCGTCTCTGGCGGCGTCGCCGTCGCTGCCCGCCTCCAGCCCCAGCCCCTCCAGCTCGTCGTTGAGGCGCTGGGCGCACTGCTGCCGCCAGGCCTCCTCTTCCTGCATGTCGGGGAAGTAGATCTCCGTGTAGTTGCGGATGATCTGCAGCCGCTGCGGGTCCAGCTCCTGCTTGCCGCCCTCCCCGTAGCAGCTGTACTGCTCGCCCAGCTTGCGGTGGTCAAAGAGCTCCGGGAAGAGCCGGTGCAGGAGGAACACGGCAAACTCCCCCGGGGAGGACACTTCGTCCAGGAATTCCGTGAGGTCCTGCGTGTCCACCACGTGGTCGGAGGCGATGGTGCTGCTGCGGTCCAGAGACAGGGCCTCCTCCTGGTCCTTGTTGTCCAGGAAGTGGCCGCCGTCCACCTGTTCCACTTCAAAGAAGTTGGGGACCTGGCCGCTGGGCTTGCTGTCCTCCATCTCCCGCTGGGCCCAGAAGCGGCTGAAGAAGTCGTTGAGCTGCGGCAGGCACTCGGCCTGCCACACGGCCGTGTCCTTCACCGACGGGTAGTACACTTCCACGTAGTTGCGGATCAGCTGCAGGTGCAGCGACTCCAGCTTCCGCTTGGTGGCAAAGCCGCAGGCGCTGCAGCCCCGGGAGAAGTCCACGTCGCTGAAGAGCTCCGGGAAGAGCTGCACCAGCAGGCGGCAGGCCAGGTCGCCCCCCGACAGGCTCTGGTCCACGATCTGCTTGAGCTCGGCGGCGGTGAGCTGGTACTCCGGGGGTGGCTGGAATTTCGCCACCAGCTCGGTGGGGCTCACCTGCTTCTTGATGCGGCTCACCTCCAGGGAGAGCAGGTCCACCTTGCTGTGCAGCTGGGACATGTTGGACGTGAGCGTGTTGAGCATGTAGAACATCTTCTGGATGAGGAAGTAGATGTTGGGCTCGCCATCCGCGGCCGCCCCGGAGCCGCCACCGTCCCGCTTGGGGGCCTCGCTGGGCAGCCGCAGCGGGGAGGGGCTGCTGCTGGAGTTGGCCTTCTCCAAGAGCTCGTAGGTGCTGAGCAGGTCCGCCGTGGGGGGGTTCTTCTTCTCCATGATCTTGTGAGAGATGCTGTACAGGGGCTTCTTGTAGGAAGGGGCGGTGGCATCGCTGCAGGGCTCCTCCTCGCCGGGCCACGCAGGGGCGCTGCTCCTGCTCCTAGCAGCTTGCTCTCCGTTGCTCTGGCAGGGCGAGCTGCTCTCCCGGGTCTGCATGCCCGCCAGGAGAGCCTGCAAAACAACGTTCCCCCAGCGTTAGTGGCTATGCGGACGTAACTACGCTAATATGCTGAGGGCCAGGCCCCGCCCAGGGTCGGTGCTTCCCTCATCCCAAACACCCAGGAATGGATCACTAATACGCATGCGCAGCATGGTGCCAAACCCCAAGGAAGGGCTCCAGCTGGACCCAGAAGGCACACCTTCCTAGAGAACACCATGGCTGGACTTCCTGCACCACAGCCTGGCAGGAGGCAGGGCACAGATGCTGGCAAGGCCAAGGAAGAACTGGTCCAATGACAGGAGAGAGGCCACAGAAACACATGGGGCCCCTGTGGCGGCTGGCCATGGGCAGGTCAGCTCACTCCTGTCTCTAGAAGCCCACGAAGACAGCCAGAGGGTCGTTTTAGTTTCCATGCCTCTGGGACAGCAGGGAGGCCTACGGGGAAGATTTCTCGACAGTGCACCCGGCCATGCACAGAACTAGGGTCTGCTGCCGACTCTGTGCTGCCCAGACTCACTCTTACCTCAAGTCAGAAATGGGCTGGCCCAGAGCACTACAGCTTGTGCACTGTGACATTCTGTAAGCCACAGGGCTTCTGGGGCTTATAGGTCTGTCTCCTTGCTGAGTCAGCAGCCTTCCTTAGCCAAAATGCTCCAAACCTCCTTAGACCAGGTTCTGGGAGAGACTGAAACTCTACCTTCTCAATTCACCCAAGATGACACATCCAGAAGCCCATTCTTGGAGGCTCAAGCTACCCTTCAAAGCTTCAGCTGCGAAGCCAAGCTCCATCATCACCTGGGAACCAGAGCTTGCACAGCTTTCCTTAACCCCTCGGCAGACTCCGCCGGGAGGTGGGGGAGGTGCACCGACTGCTACTGGGGCTTAGACTCAGGGCCTCCAGCTCTCTCTTAGCGCTATGGCTTAAGGTTAGGGTTTTTACCAGCTGATCTGCACCTCTACTTCTTGGCTTTTGGCTAGCTAACTGGAGATAAAAAGTCTTGCATTTGACTGTCCGGGCTGGCTTCAAAGATGGATTCTTATATTTCAGCTTCCTAAGTACCTAAGATTACCACCACTGTATGGTTTAATAGATTTAATGTCTCTGTATATGGAGGACAGGTGATGTGTGACAGAAGTTCAGAACAATTTGGTAGAGAAGGCTGGGTAGAGTGAATGCTTGCATGTACAAGTTCAATGCCCAGTACCACAAAATAAACAAAAAACCACAAACTTCAAAATCAATTTTTGTGAATAAGGATAGTTTTAAGTGATTCTGAACAGCCTATCTATATGCAAAATGAGTATCAGTTATAGTCCAAACTTTACACTTTATACAAAATTAACTTAAAATGGACCATAGACTTAATCCAAAGGGAAGAGGAGACATTATCCAAAAAGAAATGTACTTGCCAGGCACCGATAGCTTATGCCCGTATTCCTAGGTACTCAGGAGGCTGAAATCTGAGGATCACAGTTTCACACCAGCCGGGGCAGAAAAAGTGCCCTTAAGATTCTTATCTCCAACTAGAAAACTGGTAGTGCCATGGCTTAAAGCAATAGAATGCCAGCCTTGAGCAAAAACCTCAGGGCCAGTGCCCAGGCCCTAAGTTCAAGCCCCACAACCAACAACAAAAAAAGGAATGGTTCAAAGCCAGCCTAGTCTGGGCAGGAAAGTCCATGTGACTCTTATCTCCAACTAACTAAAAGCCAGAAGTAGAGATATGGCTCAAGTGGTAGAGCACCAGCCTTGAGCAGAAAAGCTAAGAGACAACACCCAGGCAAGGGGACTGGGGGAGGGAGAGGGAAAATATAAACATATAAAAAAGATGCTCAGTAGTAGTTTCATGCAAATCAAAGCCACATCACTCCCACCAGGATGAATGTAACCAAAAAGACAGATGATACTGATGCCGGAGAAACAAGACTCACACACCCTGCTGGAGGCAATGCAAAATGGGGCAAACACTTTGGGACACAGTTTTGCAAAATGTCTTTAAAAGTATACATGGATCATATGATGTAGTTATATTGTGTCTCAGATTTTATTTACCAAGCACAACAGAAGACTGTGCACACAAGTGTTTATGGAGGCCATATTTGCAAATAGCTCCAAACTGGAAAGAAATGAAGCTTTTATCAAAATAAATAATATAAATTATTAGATTCATGCAATATAACTGTACTCAGAAATTTAAAAAAAAAAAAAGAGTCAGGCCTGGGAAAGTGACTTAGTGGTAGAGTGCTTGCCTCGCATGCATGAAGCCCTGGGGTTGATTCCTCAATACCACATAAACAGAAAAAGCCCGAAGAGGCTCAAGTGGTAGAGTGCTAAGCTTGAGCACAAAGAAGCTCAGGGACAATGCCCAGGTCCTGAATACAAACCCCAGGCCTGGCAAAAAAAAAAGTCATAGGTGACAGATTGCAAAAATAACTATACTGAGTGAAAGAAGCCACAAGAGGATCACAAGGCTGGTGCTGTGGCTTAGTGGAGGAGCACTTTCCTAGCATGTACAAGCCACAGAGTTTAATCCTCAGCATGCCCCTTGTGAAGAAGCCATGCTATAGGATATGTATAAAATTCTACATTATGTAAATATAACTATAGTACAGAAAACAGAGTAGCCTGGGGGTGGCCAAGAGGATACAAGGGGAAAGGGATGTGAGAGCTTTAGTAGTTAATCTATCTATAACTGCTGATTGGTACACACATCAGAGCTCATCGATGTGTGTACTTTAAATTGTACTCGTCACGGTACTTCAGTTATACCCTGATAAACCTGTTTTTGACAAGTTGAATTTGACACAGAAACCATACTGGAATATATTTTGGTAAGGTTTATTAAGCAGTCAGGCTAATTAGTGAGCACTGGCAGCATCGGGGGAGCATGGAGACTTGAAGCTCAAAGCCTTTGCTTCCACTGATACATGTATGCCTCGGGTAAACAGAGACAAGACTGGAACAAGAACCAAGTGCAGCTTGGGATGCTTCTTCCACACCTGGGTATATATGCACTCTTTCTGTCTTTTTCTCCCTCCCTCCCTCCCTCCCTCCCTCTCTCTCTCTCTCTCTCTCACACACACACACACACACACCCTGAGAAACAGGAAGAGGAGTGGGCAGAGCAGAAAACCTTGATCCCCTAATGCAATGTGCTTTGAACTATAGGTTATTAGAAGACAAAATGGTCCACTGGTCATTATCACTGTAAGAAAAAAAGAGAGAAGGAAAGAAGTAAAAAATCAAAGAGAAGGAAAAAAAAAGAAACAGCACTCAAGCAGAGCATGCTGAACAAAGTAAATAAATCCTGGCACACCTTGCCTTATTTCCATCTGAGCGTCTACGTACCTAGACTGTGCAGGTATCCCACGGCGGAGCAGCTGCACTGCTCTGTGAGGTGGGCTCAGACCTGTGATCCTGCTGCCAGAACTGCCCTAACAAACCCACAACGCCTCACTGGCTCATGCCGCACACTGCATTCTCCTCTTAGCAATTTCTCCACCATACAGTTGTATTACTTCAAAATAATGCTGAAGGTGCCAGGGATCATGGGATTACTATGAGGCTTTACCAATACTTAACCACCTTAGGAGCTATTTTAGAAAAGGACGCTTACAAGCAGTCCCTTTGGTATTTAAAGTAGAATTTTGTACAGTAAGTCACATACTCTGCAGCAAGAGTATGTGTTCTGAGTTGGCTGTGTACAGCACCAGCCTTGATCAAAAAAGCTAAGGGACAGTACCCGGGCCCCAAGTTCAAGCCCTAGTAGCAGCGCGTGCGCGCGCGCGCGCACACACACACACACACACACACACACACACACACACACACACACACAAGTATAGGGAAAAGTTACAAGGGAACTGGCTGAATACTAACAACTGCACTGACCACATCCCACAGAGGCAGGAGAGGCAACTAGAAATGGCTTTGGCAGCTGTCAGCCTCCTTAATACAAAATATTCCATTTCCAAGGCATGTGAGGAGCATTGCTGTCAACAGAAACTCTGACTCTACTGCTTGAACAAAAGCTGGAACAACAGTAGAGGGCAACATTTCCCACCCCCAGAAACCTCTACTACACAACCCAACATCCAAACAACACAAGCCTCAGAGAACAGCTTCTTCCACATCCCCACACTGACGTCCTGTCAGCTCAGAGCTCTGATTCATTCCACAAACGCTGCCAAGGCGACGATGGGCTGGCTGCACTCGCTGCCAATGATAAAATCTCAGCTCAGCTGTCTAGGAGTATCAAGAAATCTTTAAATCTGGGCTACTTGGCACCAGGTATCTGGTTGACTCTGTTCCCAATTCTCCGAGGCTCCTCTTCCAACCATATGGGGACTCTGCGGCACAGCTCAGCTCTGCAATGCCAGCAGCTCGCTTAGATCTTGATTGAACACCTGTAGCCTCACCAAGGAATGCCCCAATTTCTCAGCTGGAAAATGGAGTGGAATGAAGAGAGGCTGATGCTTCGATCTAGTCAGGGGTAAGCAGATCATCAAAGAAGGATCCAGGCCTCCTTGACAGTCTCATCCTAGAGTCTGGACCACCACAGAGATGTTGTAAGTATCAGACATCTCTGTCAGGCCTCCAGAACCAAGAGCTGTCACTGAATGCAGTTCAAGGAATGACTAAATGGTGCCCAGACAGTCAGCAAAGTGGAACACCAAGAAAGCAGCATGCCTTTGAGAAGCGGAAGAGTGGAGAATGAATGTGATCTCAAGGGCAGGCCACGCGCAACAGCAGCGAGGGGCTGCCACCACCTTCCTGGGAGAATCTTTGAATTTTCAAAACAATTTCCCACTTTCAACACAATCCTCCTTTTCTTCCTCCTTGTCAGTGACCAGAGCTACCTAGTAATATGTCTGGAAGAGTTATATGCCCCCAGTCCTAGAAAAAAAAAACTATTCCCATTGCCCAGACACTGAACGAGGTCCTGGGCACACAGGAATGAGACATGCTTCTTCTCTTATGGCCCTTCTTCTTAGGCCACCCCTCTGCTGCCAACAGCAAGTGGTGAGGGTTAAAAAAGTGCTAAGGAACCCCCAAAAGCAAAAACCTGGTAAGACAGCAACTACAATGAAAGGCGAAGAGGAAGACCAGAAGAGACAACAAAATAGTAGTGCACGAGGCCCCTGAAAAACTTAAGCAGCCTTCAGGGCCACTAGCACAGTAATTAAGTGCATCTGGTCCAGAATGGAACAGGCTTGAGTGTGAACTTCTCTGAGTCTCCTGGCTGGGAACAGGGCCAGCACCTCTCTGCTCCTTACAGCCCCCTGGCTTGTCCCACAGATGCTCAGATAGATCTGTATTGCAGGAGTGAGACAGCATGTCTTGTTATCCGACCTCGATGATGTTGTAGAATCAAAACAAACCAACCACTGGGTGCTGGTGGCTCACACCTGTAATCCTAGCTACTCAGGAGGTTGAGATCTGAAGATCACAGTTCAAAGCCAGTCCGAGCAAGAAAGTCTGAGACTCTTATTTCCAATTAACTATCAAAAACCAGAAGTGGTGCTGTGGCTCAAGTGTTAAGAGTGCTAGCCTTGAGCTGAAGAGCTCAGAGACAGTGCCCAGGCCCAGAGTTCAAGACCCACCACTGACCAAAAACAAAACAAAACAAAAAAACCCACAAGCAACCCAGGAGAGCAAACCTGGAGTCTCTGCCTGGCATACAGCTCTGAGTATCACGATCACAATTGTGAAGGAAACACGATTACCAATAAAAACTTGGGTACTCACTTCCCACATCGGCTATGCTTGCTGGGTCTGCAGCCCTTTGGTGAAGGTGCCAAGTTGAGTCTTTTTTTGGTCGGGCTTGGGCTTGAACTCTGGGCTTGGGCGCTGTCCCTGTGCTCTTCAGCTCAAGGCGAGCGCTCTACCACTTGAGCCACAGCACCACTTCCGGTTTTCTAGTGGTTTATTGGAGTCTCACGAACTTTCCTGCCAGGTCTGGCTTTGAACCATGATCCTCAGATCTCAGCCTCCTGAGTAGCTAGGATTACAGGCGTGAGCCACCAGTGCCCGGCTTCTTTCTAAACTTTCATAAGACGCAGGTGACAATGGAGCCGTATATATTAAAGGCATTACCTTTTTGTAAATAGTAAGGACTGGGTAATAGATGTTCCATAGTGTTACTTTTCTCTCCTGTGTATTACACCAGGGTGAGAATGAGGGTGGTAGAAATCATTGCTACTCCAGTGTCTGCAGCCTAGTAGAAGACTCCCAACAGGCCATTTTCATATGCAGATGACTCGTAAACGCAGTGACAATGCAGTGAGGCTTCTCTGCAAAGACTGTGTAGATGTAAGAGCTAGTGCTAACCAACCTAGCAAGAAGAAGAAAAGAACACAAA